ACATAATTGGTCCAGGGACTGGACTCCAAAGTCGTGTTAAACACTTGATGCATTTTGAACAGTATCAACACACATTAGTTAAAGACTATAATATCTCACTAACTCAAACTTTTTTTTTTAATTCGTTTCACAAGTACTTTGTTAAGTTTTTATCCAGGTACACATAAATAGTTACATAAATTATCATACATAGCAGCATATGTGTAGATTACCCAAGATAACCCAAAAAGGTCAGTGACTTATTTTCATGCAAATTATCGATTAAACTTACCTATAGAGGTGTGTAAGAGCCAGTTTAACCTGGTCCTCCTGGAGAGGTACAGTTATACTGAGGTTGACGTGGTAAGCGACTAATAAAATCCCGCTCCTGTTACATTCCTCGAACATCTTCTCCGCCTTCGACGCCTCCCTCAGCCATTTACCATCAAAGTCTGGCATCTTCTTACCTACCAATGTACAGGAAATTAGGTTGGAATATAACTCTAATTTTTAAAGGGGTGGACTGATAAGCCAGTGAAAGGCCTCGGTCAGATGACCAAAGCCCCACCGAAGGATCATCATTATGGAAAATTTGATGCAGTTTTCCCAAAAAATTATACTGTAAATCCTACAATGGGAATATGTACAATTAATGTGTTGCTGTTGGTCTAATATTTGAAAGTGAAAAGAGAACCAACAGCAGGGGTCTTGGCGCATGCACGAGGAGTCACATGGGCAGGCAGTCGTGGAGGTCTTCATAAATGGCGTGGGTGTCTGGTTAAAATGGAGTCAGGGATTTGGCGATCCCAAAAGCCAAGGTATGACAGCTGGGGGAAAAAAATGGGTGGTAGGGACGGGGCAGTCTTGGACAGTGCTCCTGAGGGTGCTAGTGCTGTCCTGGAGGACAGTGCTAGTGTTGTCCTGGAGGAAAGTGCTCCAGAGGATCCTAGTGATGTCTTAGAAGACAGCGCTCGTGGGGGTACTAGTGTTGTCCTGGAGAACACTGAAGACAACACTATCAGTCCACAGAGGTTCAAAATAGAGATACTGCTGGAGATGGATCAAAATGGGATAATGCCTCCGGGAATAGTGTCGACACACTACCAGCAAAACCTGGTGGAAGCACTGATGTCCACACAGGGGTAAAAGATAGGGAGGAAACAGGAAAAATAAATGCACCAACAGTGAACGCAGCTATAATAAATCCTAGCAAACAGAAGTACAATCTGTATGAATACTATGCCTCGGGTATCTGCAGGCACGGTATATCTGGTAAAACAGGTGGGGCATGCACCTTTGACCACCCCAAAAAATGCCGCACCCACATGACAACAGAATGCAACTTCCCTTCTTGCAACTTATTTCAAACAGAAATGTGTCACTCATCAATCCATGAAAGAAAATGCTACAATGCATACTGCCAGGCACATCATCTAAAGGGGACTAGAAGACACAGATCAGCCAGACTATGGGAAACAAAAGAGAGGAGCCACAACTTCTCCAGGGACAGAGGTTTTTTAAGGCCAGAAGGGAAAAAAGATAAGGCAAGAAAAGACAATAATCCTACACCACCTGAAAATATTTCTGGAGCAGAGGCACGGACATTGGCCTCTACCCCAGAACAATAGATATTAGAGCCAGCAAATAACCCCCTTCCCTAAATTCCACCAATACGACATTTGTCTTTGCAAACATACAGGGTCTAAAGCCGTCAAAAAACAACAAAATTCCTTACACCGAGGGACTGCTCACGGAGTGAAATGCAATGTTTGCAGCATTCAGAGACCCACATAAAGGATCATTATGACAACGAAATATGGATCCCAGGTTATAATCTATTCCGATGTGACACACTAAACAGGCCAACAAGGGGGAGGGGGGTTGACCTGTATGTCACAGAGTCGCTCATTTGCACAAAACTACTAAACACCTCAATTGATGTAGTTGAAGTTTTGGCGGTAAAGATTGAAAACCAAAATCTTGTCATTGTGGTAGTATACAAGCCTCCAGATGCAACTTCCCATCAATTCCAGGAGCAGCTAGAGAAAATTGACCACGTCCCCCTGGGGAGGATGGTATTACAACATACTCAGATTGCTATGTCGAGTACCAAGTAATCCTTTACTTGAATTATATAACATGAGCTATGTAACTGGGGAGCTCCATCAATCTTGGACAAACAGTCTCATCATTCCAGTTTCTAAGCCCAGTCAACAAAATGAATTTCGCCCAATGTCTCTTACTAGCTGCTTGTGTAAAACATTCGAGA